TTCCAGATCGCCACTCACAACGAGAAAGTGAAATCTCGACATCACATCAGCTACACTTCTTCTTTCTTGCTTCACCTTCTTGTAGCGAGCCTCCATTGCGCTCTGCTAACTAATTCAACATGACTGTCGTACATTTACATGTACCCTCCACCCAATGTGCACCCATCCTGCACATTCTTCTTCCTTCCGCCTGCACCGTCTCTCGGCTACAGGTTGTCCGACGCCTCTTCGTGCGACTGCATGACGTTGAAACGACTACGGTTCGTTCGAGTTCGCACGAACTCAGCCAAGAGCGCCCCACAGTTAAGATCGACCTCGTCCACCTATGTGGGCTCGCGATAGCCTTTCCAAAACGCCTGGAACTCTCGGTGAACGCGGCCATATCGCGTGCGGCGTCCAGACCTTACGTCGACAATCCGTTCCACCTCGAATTCGTCTTCGCCTAAAGGAATCCCCCAGCTGTCCTCCGGGAGTAGAGCCTCATCGAAGGCGACTTGATCTCCTTCGTCGACCAGCAGGGTGCAAGTTGGGTGGTCAGGGAACGCCATCACCAACTTCAACTTCGACAGGTGTACCACAGGGAAGATGCGGTATTCTGTTCCACTAGTCTCCACACGTGCTGCATGATCGCCGATGAGTTCGGTCACACGAAATGGGCCGTGCCACATGTGGGCCAGATCCTCGCGAACCCCTCCTTCACCCGGTCCAGGTAGAGCCATACTTGTGATCCTCGCTCGATCTTGTGAGGCCTGACTTGATCATTATGTTGAGCAGCTCTAGCTTCGATCGCCTTCCGGAGATCACTGTTCACCACTTCTCTCGCCCGTCGATATTGCGATTGCAGACGATACCTCCACCGGCTGGCGTCACCGTCTTTCCACCTTGTGGATCCGATCGAGAGCGTCGCTTCCAGCATTGATCTTGCGTCCCACCCATGCACAAGATAAAGGGATGTGTCTCCACGCACTCGATCTTGCGCCGTGTTGAGAGCGAACGTCAAACGTTCTGCGTAGTCGTCCCAGTTCTGTTGGTTGACGTCGGAGGCATACATCTTCAGCGCTCTCGTCAGCGTGTGCACCGTTCATTCTGCTTTTCCGTTACTTTGTGGGCGGTAGGCCATGGTGGGACTCTGTCTCATCTTCACGATCCGATTAAACGAGTGGAAGAAAGCCGCCATGAATCCTGGCTCCCGATCATGTCTGATAACTTCACTTGCGCCGAACCGTCTGAAGACACATTCCTCGTAGTTTTCCGCCACAGCCTGGGCTCCCCGCGATGATCCAGCTTTGGCGACCACGTATCCAGTGAACAGATCGGCCTAGATCAGTAACTCCGTCTTCCCCTTAAAGGACTTCGGTAGCGACGGAATGTGGTCCATGGATATGACTTGGAACGGGTACGTGCCTTGTACATTCCCCGGCGATCTTCCTTGATCTGTGGGTTTCCCTTTCCCTGTCTCACAATCTGTGCATTCTCCTACGTAGCGCTGGACACTTCGATACAGGTTACGCCAGTGAAAGCGCGTCCGGATTCTACGGTATATCCTCCCGACACCCTGGTGGCCTCCTTCGAGGCTTGTGTGGTAATGATGTAGGAAATCCTGTTGCAAGCTTTCCGGCACCACCAGTCTGACGACATCATTGCGATCTTCGTCTCGTGTCAGGATCCTCGGGCAATAAACAGCAGTCCGTCTTCGTCGACTTCATACGTTGCGGCGATCTTCGAACACGTCTTCGCATCTTCCTTCGACAGACCGTTCAGGTCATTGTTCAGGTACGCCTTTAGATCTATGATCCACTTCTCTTCGTTTTGTGCTTGCTTAATCCGGTGACTCCGTATGCGTCGCACAATAGATTCATCCATCGCCGCTGGTGGTGGAGCCAGATTTACCGCAGATCGAGTGACTGCGTTCACGTGAGTCACTGATCTGGCTGACCTTGGTTGCAGTATTTCGTGCAATCTGTTCAGCGTGATCAAGTCCTGCCGTTCTTTCTCTGCTGTCACGATCTCGCCTTCTTCACGCTGTAAGGCGGCACTGGCGAGCTTGTCGGCACTTTGGTTCCAATTTCGCTTTACGTGTAAGAATTCGTGCTTCAGCCAAGATCGCAGTTGGTTCAACGCCTTTTGGTGTAACAGCTACAGACCTGGCGCCTTACAGTCGATCTCGCCTCTCATCTGGCGGATCACCAAGTTGGAGTCACCACAGATCACGACTCGCCCCCTGGCTTGAGTCGAGAGGAGATCCAAACACAGTTGCAATCCCATGTACTCCGCCTCGTTCACTGTCAAGTCTGGCATGTGTTCGGACATCGCTTCGAGGACCATCCACTCGGGGAGTTTCCAGAGGATCGCGCTGTATGCGTCTCTCGCACGCTTCACTCGTGCCGATCCGTCAAAGCTCCCCACCAACAGGCTCTCTTGTGGTCCTACGGTTGGAGGAATCATGGCGATCATCTTCCGGGGTTGCTTCTTCGGGGCTATTGTGATTAGGACTTCGTCAACTTCCGCTCGGGGAGTAATGCCCGCAGCGATCACCCCCAGGATTCTTCTTCGCCTTTGGAACACTTCGTAATATCCAGCGTCCAGCCAGACAACAATGCGGCCCACCTGCCCAAACGCCCGTCTAGCCCATTCGATTTCAGGAGCCAGGCTAGCGTGGAGAAACGCGATAGCACCTAGATCGATCTGGTGACCAACGGCGAGTAGCAGACGTCTAACATGCAAAGAAGAGCCAGGACCTCCTTATCTACGATCCCATAGTTGAACTCGTTGGCCTTCAGCGTCGGACTGGTGAAGGTTACTGGCCAATATACGCCGCCGTGTTCCTGCATTAGTGCCGCCGAGATCGCCCACTTGTTACCATAGAGGACTATGACTGCCGCCCGCCCCGGGTCGAAGAGCTTCAAGATCGGAGTGGAGATTATCTTTGCTTTGGGTATGGTGAACACATTCATTGCTCGTGTCCAGCGATTGCGTTTCTCATCTGCTGGTGCCGTCCCGTCCTCCGGTTCTCCTGTCAACTTCAACGGTGCGATCTGGTAGTAATCTACTTCCCGAAGTTCATACAAGATCGCTGCTTAGACTGCAAAGTCCTCGATGAAGCGGCTGTAGTAATTCAGGCTTCCAAGGAACGACTACACCGACTTCAGGCTTGGTGAAGCGGCTGTAGTAATTCAGGCTTCCAAGGAACGACTACATCGACTTCAGGCTTGGTGGGGACCGGGAGATTCGATAAGACTTCGAGGTCTTTTGGATTCGCCTCCAACCCATCTGTCGACACTTGGTGGCCCAGGTAGGTCCCTGTGATGTAGCGCTTGGAACTTTTGCTCCCGGGCCACGACGCAAGTAATAGACGGCTCCTCCTGGACGGGGGATTTGCCCAGGATCGTGGATTCCTGGGGAGGCTTGCTATGAACGAATAAGTCCCGGGAAGCCGGTCAATAACCTCACCTTGTGTACCCCCTTCGA